AGAAACACACACACAACACACAAATACTAGTACTCAATAATATCGCGATTGACCAGTCATATAGCTGCTTGAACTACACACACAAGGACGTAAATATGTAAATACAGGTCACAGTTCGACTTGCGTAGCAAACGTTACAATGTGTCAAGTGATTTGAAGGCGTCTTTTTTCCAAAACAGAGAAGCAATAGGCGTTGTATTTTGAATCGTCATTAAAACCTAAATTTATTACGAATAAAAACTTAAGTTTATACATACAATGTACGATCATTGTTACTCCAGCGGTCGGTTGGCAAGCGGACGGTGTTTCTGAAGCCAGTCATAGCAGGAGCGAGCGAGCGAGCGAACAAAAGCGAGCGAGCGAGCGAACAAAAGCGAACGCGAGCGAGCGGAAAAAAAACGGTCGGTTTCCGGTCGGAAAGCAGCGAGCGGTCGGAAATTAAGCGATAAGCGGTCGGAAAAAAAGCGATAAAAGCGGGAGGTTGGGCGGAATGAGTACTGTAAGTAACGAAATAGCTAGATTTGTTTCGTTTAATTATATCTTACAGGATCATGGTCGTTTCGTTAACTGTATTCGATATTCACCAAATGGTGACAGGTATCTAACAGGTGGTGCTGATGGTAAGGTGAGTATATGCTGTGTGATTAGATTGTGACTGTGTTGGGTTGAGTCAGTCGGGTCAGGTCGAGATGGGTCAGGTCAGGTCAGGTCAGGTCAGATAGTACCGTATTTAACCTCATATAAGCGCTAACCTGGACGCCAGCACAATAGAAAAGGTGATAATTTTCACACCAATTAGGCGCCAGTCAAAGTTGAATGTTTCTGTATGGTTAAAATCGTGAAATAGGCGCCAGTGAATTCCCTATTTGGCCGACGTCTGCCTGATACCTTTGTTTTAACACCTATCTTTACTTTTAAATGAAGACACTTGAGCTAATCTATTTGTAAATGAATGAGTGATTGACATTTATTGACAGGTGACTAGAATCATAGACCTTAGAAAATACAGGATTGATTGACAAGATTGCGTAATTAATAAAGTTGTCAATGTAATGACCATCTTGTCTGAACGTAAAGTGGCAAGCAACTACGTGGTTGATTCACAAACATTACAAAAACTCACCAAAGTACCATAAATGAAAGAGTTCCTTAAAATCCATAACCAAATTTTCCATGTTCGTTGCATACCAGGAAATATAATTCTCTGACAAAATTATTTCACAAGTGGATGCCATTTTTATATGATTTGAATATTTACATATTAGGTCAACATTAACGTCACTTTCGAACGTAATTTGGGGTCAAATACAGCTTGTCCAATCAGGGTAGTGTATTCATGTACTAGTTAAACCTTCCCCGGGTCAAACTCGATACTTTGTTTTCGGTAACAGTCTGGTTACATTTTGAACAATCAAGGCGTTTTGTGTTTAGAAAAACACAAAACGCCGCCTGTTATTACAAAATGTAAAGTTTTGTGCAGCAGATCCCCAAAATAACAACCAACTCATTAGAAATGGGAAATGTTCGTGACTGACTCTGGTAGTGGAAAGGTCAAAATCATGTGTTTGGCATTTCTTGATTTTTCTTTGTGAGTTTAAGCCAATGTGTTGACGAGAAATAAATATATATAAGAATATATACGTAGCTTCCTTGCCGTGTAATTCAATGCTGTTTACCAGAGTCTCTCTAACATTATTACATGTACATGTAATTAAGTAATGGCAAAAACTGTGGATTTAATCACATGCATTTCAACAAATACGAGGTAAATGTAATAATTGTAAAATAAAATATTATATTTATTGCACAGGTATTATGTCAAAATTGGTACGAGAAAAACATTATTTTCCCCTGATGATTAAAACAAAAGTAGCTGGCTTCCATGTTCAACCCACGCAATGTGGCACACAACTAATTAGCATAACATTGATAACAAACTGTCAGGTATTATGGGGAGAGATTTTAGACATGATTGGCAAAGGAACCGCACACTCAAGCTATTATGTTCTTTAGAAAAGGGTGTGATCCTTTGGTTTTTAATATAAATACCCATGGCTATCTCCTCAGTTTCTCATTCGTTTACTGATTTTCTTGATGACAGTATTCTACAATATCGTCTAAAGACGCAACACGCAGCGCTCAGCCTAGTATTAATTCTATTAAGAATTATTTTACTAGTGGACCAAGTCAACAAACTCGTCAGCCTTTACCAAAACCACAACCGGTATTTCCTGTATTCCAGAGAAAGATTGGTGTTTGCTGTACAAAGCTTGGCAAGCAGTTATACAACGGGACATCGTCCACAGCTGTAACATCAGCACCGGTGAATCCAGCGGACACTGCTGGTACTGGTAAATCAAGTTCCAAGCCAGATATCAGACTTTGATGAGTTGTTAAATTTGCCAAGCAACACGGTCAATGACGGCAGCATGGCATTACCGGATTCTCCATAAAAATGTAGGGCGTTGGATGAAAGATGACACCGTTGGTAAATTAAATATTCAGCGAGTTTCCAGATATGACAACATCCTGGTGCTGGCGGGAAATTATCCTAAGCCAAAGATGTAGACAACAAGCTGGTGAAATGGGTGCTAAAACTCAGGAACAATCAAATCCCAGTGACAACAAATATGCTTTGGCAGAAAGTAAAGGAACTTATCTGCGAATACAACCCGGAATTTAAAGCCTCAACAGGGTGGGTTCGCCAATTCTTGAATTGGAAGAGAAAATCACATCTTTTCTTCAATTTATTGTTGAACAAAGATGCAAATATAACATTCCACTTGAACTCATTGGTAATATGGATGAGACTCCGGCATACTTTGACCTGTTGCCGAACACATCACTCGAGCGTAAGGGGGCAAAGACTGTGAGCAGTCGAAGTACTGGTGCAGAGAAGCGTCATTTGACGATGATTTTAACCGTTCTCGCCAGTGGCGTAATTCTTCCTCCTGAGTGAGAAAACTGAAGCTCAATGTACCTAAAGGCATGGTGGTTGAGGTGCAAAAAAAAGGCTGGTGTGACGCTGAGATGATGAAAATCTGGCTGAACCGTGTCTGGCTTCCATACACTAAAAGTCGAAGATCCCTTCTGATTTTTGATTCATTCTGTAGCCACCTCAAAGAGTCAGTAACCGACTACCTTCAGTCAAGCGGAAATACCAGGAGGATGCATGTTCAAAGTCCAACCACTTGATGTTTCTATCAATAAAGTATTTAAAGAATACCTCAGAACGGAGTGGTGTTACTTCATTGACAGGCAGTTGAAAAATACCAACCCCGGTCAACGACCAAAGACAGCATAAAAAAAAATAATTGTTGGTTGGGTAACACGTGCATGGGCAAAACTTTAAGAACGCCTAGACATGATAAAGCAGTCTGTACTGGTTTAAGCAATGCACTAATCGGCTCTGAAAATTTGTAATATAGATCTGACAGTATCCAACAGGAATTAGAATCCGTGGTGGCAAATCAACTCAACGTTTCACTATGTATCTGACGATGAGAGTTCATCAGAGGACAATGTAAGCGAATTCAACGACTCTGACAGTGAACCAGAGCTTACAAATGAGGAAATAAATGTGAAATTTGTCAACTCCGATGACAGCAGTGGCAGCGAGTTCAAAGGTTTTTGAACATTTATTACTGGTATTGTGATCTTGGACGTTTTTATGCATCATGTTTTTTTTTTCATTTCAGGGATAATTATGAACATTTTCAAATACGAATTTTAATTTAATTATGTAAATTTTGAATAATATTTGAAAAAATTGTGCATTTTTTTCTTTCATGAATTATTCTGTTAACATGTATTATACACCCCAAATTTGTGTAAATAATTAGCTAAATGAAAACTGACACTGTCCCTTGTGCATTTATTTACCTTTTATTTTTTTTACCATGTTGATTGTTTAGATTGTCTAGAGCCTAGAATCTAACCTTGTGGCAATGAGTTTGATGGTTTTTGAATGCGTCACAGACTTTCAAACAAACATATTATGCACCATGAAAGCCTTTTAAAATATTTAAAAAAAATATGTAACATTTTCTTATTATCCTGTATACCGTACATGTATAATATTCCCCAAAATTGTGTAAATACAGTATTATTGACCTTACTCGTGCTTATTGTTTAGTCTTTTCTTGGAGGGCAAATTCTACAGTGTGTTAGTGGTGTGTGAAAAATGACTGACCTCAATCAAACACCATTTGCAACAAAGTTGCCAAAATGTGACCTCAAATTAGAAATGAAAATGTATAAAGTGTCGCCTAATAATATGAGGTATTTTTGACTCCCATGTGCGAAGCACAAAATGGGAGTCTTTGCAGTTAGTGTGTCTGTATGTGTGTATGTGTATGTGTGTGTGTGTATGTGTGTCCGACTGTTCCACTGCTATCTCAAGAACCATACATCGGTTTTTGATGAAACTTGGTGCATAGATGCTCTGGGCCAATGCGCAGATTTGATTAGGTTTTGGTAAAAATCCATGCTCGTTAATTACCTAATTTGCATGATAATTAGCTAATTTTTAGCTGTTCTATGACTGTTCCACTGATATCTAAAGAACCACTCATTGGATTTTGATGAAACTTGGTACATAGATGCTCTGAACATATGCGCAGATTTGATTAATTTTTGGTAAAAATCCGTGCATATTAATTACCTAATTTGCATGATAATTAGCTATTTTTTAGTGGTTCCATGACTGTTCCACTGATATCTAAACAACCACTCATTGGATTTTGATGAAACTTGGTACATAGATGCTCTGAACTAATGCTAGGTTTTGATTAGTTTTTGGTAATAATCCGTGGATACTAATTA